CTAGGGCGATAAGAAAGCCTCAAATCAACTACAGCAAGAATTCGGCTATGGCTGGCTATGGGAGGATGAAATAACTTGAGAAGAGTGAAAAGAAAACAAGAATGGAGATTTACCGCTTTTTATCAAGACGGGATGTGCAAATCCAATACAATCCACACGGCCAAAATAGCCCTTGGATATATGACGACTGAACTACGAGAATGTGTGCGTATTTTATATTTATTTTGTATAAAAAATAAAATAAGGGCAGAAAACAAATATAAAATGGAAAAAGAAATAGCTTTAAACTCCAAGTTGTGGTAACTACGCAAGTTTTGAACTATTTCACAATGGTCAAGATATTTTGTGAACCAGATAATAGTTTGTGGGTTACGAGATTATGTAGAAAATAATGACTCTATATTTTATAATACTAATCACAACATCATTAATCACATTCAACAACGTTTTAGGTTATATTAATTTTTTGATTCATATATCGTATAATATTATGTTTCAATATTGTATGTCAGTCATTTTTTATATAAATTTATTTTTAATTGATGGATTATAGTTTTTATTTTATCAAATGCCAATTGAAACTGATAGATACATTTAATTTTATATAAATAATAGTTATAATCACTTTTATTTTAATAACTTGTTTTTATATATAATTTTTGAATACATTAAGCTATAATTTTTTAATGTTTAACGTAAGTGACATGCTCGTATGCTTCGTAAGCTAATTTGGCACGTACTTCGTATTGACCCATATTACCATAATGGTTTTACTTTTATTTTTTCATATCATACCATACTAGTGCGACACTCTTGTACTACACGGGTTGTTTGAGAAAAAAAATATAAAATATAAAATAATAGAAAAACACATGTTGTCATATAAAAGTGCAAAAATAGAAAATAACAAAGTCGATATTATTTCAAATTTTGAAAAATTTCTTTGTACACAACATTAATAATTTTATTTACAATATTTTCATCCTTATCGCAACACAGAATTTTCAAGTTTCTCCTACTTTTAACTCTAGATAATGCAACATAAAGTTGACCATGACTAAATACAGGATTAGGCAAGTACAATCCGACGTTAGACAATGTCTGTCCTTGACTCTTACTAATAGTCATTGCAAAACAAACCATAAGTGAGAATTGTCTTTGTTGAAACTTGAAAGGCAATCTCACATCAGAATGAGTCAATAACATCCGCGGAATAAGTACCTTGCTCCTAATATAGAACCTTAGCCTCAACAATGCGATTTCCAAGTCGAGTGATGACTAACCTGGTGTCATTACACAACCCATAAAATAAATAATGATTATTTAATAAAGTTAGCAGTTCTTCTTTCTAATTAAAAAGTAAAAACATTACGATAATGATAGATAATAAATTAGTTAAGATTTAGGAATGTATAAATGCCAAAAAAAATAAAAGAATGGACGAGTGATTTCTCACCCGGTGACTTTAGCCGATGTTATTTATTCAATTGTGTTGAAAACAGTTGTCATGATAAATTCAACTTTTGTAAGATGAATAATCGAGATGAAGGGGGAATCAGAATGAAAGGGGATGGTGATTTAAATTATGTAGGGAACAACTACACTTTATTCATTTAATTTAATAATAAATATAATTTTGGAGAGAATTGGAGCAAAAATATATTATAATATAAAGCAAAAATATATTATAATTTTGGAGGGGATATCCGATTTGTTTTTGTCACACCGATTTTAGCAAAGATTAAGTAAAAATATATTATAATATTAAGAGCAAAATTCTATTTACACGGCATATAAGAATCCTATTTATTTTGGAGTTGAAGGGGATCGGATTAAGCAAAAATCCTATTTATTAAATATTTTACTTTATTCATTTAATTTAATAATAAATATAATTTTGGAGGGGTTGGATTAAACAAAAATATATTATAATTTTGGAAGGGATCAGGTTATGCAAAACTATTTGGAAAGCAATTCGATTTGTTTTTGTCACACCGATTTTGGCAAAGATTAAGCAGAAATATATTATAATATTAAGCAAAAAAAATCTATTTACAAGAAATATATTATAATATTAAGCAAAAAAATTCTATTTACACGGCATATAAGAATCCTATTTATTTTGGAGTTGTAGGAGATCAGATTAAACAAAAATCTTATTTATTAAGTATTTTATTTTATACAATTAGGGAAAGGAGGGGAATCCTATTTATTTTGGAATATAATTGTATTAATTTTTATCCGAACCAAAAGCCGAAACATGTAATGTTGTCAAGTAAGCTTCTGAAGCGTGCAAGCTAACCATTTAGGCTCAACAAGTTTTGAAATTATATTACGGGGATACTACTCTTACATTTTCTTATTTAATTAATGTATTTTCATAATATGTATTCTTTTTATTTTTAAGACTTTATAAAGTTTTTATTAGTGTTTTATTTTTTATCTATGATATATCAAATAATAAAATTTTAACGATATTTAGTTACACATCCATATATCATTAATAAAATAAAATATAAGATTTCATCTATCTTTATAAATAAAACTAATTTTGTTTATAAAATCATTTTAAAAAATCAAGTAACAATATAAATTATTTTATAAAAATAATAAAAAAACAATTCATTAATACACCATAAAATAGTCAATTTAAATGTGTTTTTTATTAGATTTTGAATAAAATTAAGAAATTAAGTTTTACATACAATAAATTTTAAGAAATACTATAAAATATTATTTTTTGATTTAAATAGTTATATAAAAACTGAAAGTTATTATGTTGTTTAAGATAATAAATATAAAAGAATATTATAATTAAAAATAACGAATAATTTTATTTCACAAATTTGAAAAATAATACATTTATGAATAAATAAATATTCTAATTATTAAATAGAGTGAATTTAAATTTTTTGAAAAATTAATAAATAAGAGACATCGACTCTATAAATATAAAATATAATAAATATACAATAAAACTTGTATTGTTTAAAAAAAATCGAAATAAATTTATGAAATTATAAATAACATTTGTTCTAGACATATATAATTTGAAAACCATAATTAAAAAGTATCAATTTTGACAAATTTAGTGTAAAAGCACGGGTGTCATCTTGAATTATGGTACATAAAGACTTTCGACCGGCTAGAATCGGCCTACTCACGAGCTTCCTTGCTTGATGCCTTTAGACCTGCAAAAGCTCTCACACTAAAGGGATTTTCCGGTGAAGAACCTATGATGCTTAAATGAGTATGTGTAGAAGATGAATTGTAGAAAATGTAGAGTATATGAACGTAATACTTGAAATAGCACATCTCACCCCTATTTATAGAGGTGAGGTACCTGTTTCTAGAAGACTGCCCGGATGTGATGAGTTGGCTACCCGATAGTACAACCTCTTTGCTCAGAATGTCAGAGCGGTAATGGGGCGTGGACCAATTAGGTGGTGCCACGTGTTTGTGTCCTTGTGTGATATTAGTTACCACAAAATTCCATTTTACCATTTAATCCTTCATGATTAGACCCCCTCGTAGCGTACTCAGGTCGAAGTCTGTTGAGTTAGAGTTTCGACTGCTCTAGGCTGAATGTAGCTTCCTTTGGTCGATCTTGTGACCAGTCGTCTCTACTGGTCGAGTTTCTATCAGGCCACCGATGGTCTTCGCTCAACCTGTTGTTGTCGTCCTGAACCCCCTATGTTGCACTGTGCAGACGTCAATCCTCACGGTCACGGGGATGACACGTGGACCCCTGTTCGTCGTCGATAGCATCGTGGATCTGCACAGGTCAAACGCCTCGTGGATCAATCCCTGGATCTGGGCCTCCGGCATCCAGTACTCCCTCAGCCGGATTTGCGAGCAAATGAAGAGCTCGCCCTCGTGGTCGCAGCAGAGGACGCGTTCGACGATAGTCTCGGAGCACAGTGTGGACTGAACAGCTCCGACGTCTCTTGGTTTGGGGATGAAATTGGTTCGGATCTGGAAGTCGAACGCACAGCGCTATCCGAGGACGACCTGCCGCTTTGTATTTATGCGGTCGTCGTCAATCTCGATATGATGGCAGTACTCGTATCCCGGCCGTCGTTGATTATCCACTGGATTCGGATCCATAAGGAAGACTCCTTGTATAATTATTCTGGTTGGGAACTAACGTGGATACATACGTATATTATATATAGGGAGAGAGAATGAGTTAATTGTTGGGATCTATGAGGATCTCATTATGTACAAGTTACGAATTCAATAGCAAACGTAAACCTATGCACAACAGATCTAAAGGTTTGAATTAGAAAACTTACAGCTTAAAATTTTCTGAATATGTCTGATTCAGGATGACCGGAAACAGATCACGAACGGAAGCTGGATCACACGAACGGATGGAGGTGTCGGCTCGTCGCGTGCGATCGAGTCGTGTGGGCTCATCGCAGGCTGGCTCACGGCGGTCGTCCGGCGGGTTGGGTCGACGGGTCTCGGCCTTTGGGTTGAGATTCGTCGACTTCTGTAAATGATCACGGGGTCTTGATTATCTTTGGGATCTTCTACTGTATCACTCTTACACCTCTTGAATTTGTATCGGTGAAAGCAACAAGAAGAAGACAAAGCTCGAATGGAATTCTAGAGAGAGATAAGAGAGAGAGGGACGAGTGGTGCACGTTTCACGTGTTTCTGCTTTTCTGTTTTATTCTATGTCTATTCCATGAGCTTAATGATGTATAAATAGAGGTACAGTAGGGATCCTTAGGAGAATAGGAATATTGCTTATTAAGTAATGGACTAACTGTGGGCCAGACCCACTCCTTCAATTACTTAAATAATATTACGGTCAACTAACGTAATATTATTGCATTCTCTTTTCCTAGCCCAAATTACATTGAGACTCCAATTGTAATTACCCAATTTACTTCCCATGTTTAAGATATAATGTCCATAAATTAATTCGATTACTGAAAATCAAGAATTAATTAATTTATTATTTATATTACTGAAGCTAGCGCTCGTTCATCACATTATTATTATGCCGGAACTTAATCCACCTGCAGGGTTTAGCATAACAATCCTTCATTAACTCACTTTGGGGACATCATCAAACTAACGCACATCGTGACCGTAAATATCCTAACAAAACATCATACATACAACAATATTACCCAAGACAGTAAGAATATTAATCCAGCGAACTGAATCTCACCCAAGTGAATCAAAGTAATATATACTGCATATATATGTCTGTTTAATATCTTACGGGTTAATAGAAAGCAGTAATTAACCGAGGCCTAGTTTGTTTACGACGATCAGTATAAAACAAACTTCTCCTCTCTGGGACCCTGTGTTGGGATCTGTGAGGATCTCGATAATATGTAAGTCACGGACTATCTACGAATTAAACCCTAAGCGCAGCGGGACTAGAAGTGAGGGTTCAAAGTGTACAGTTTTTTTTAATTTTTCGGACTCATCGGATTGTTCCCATTTTTATCGGACTCGTCACGAGCTCATCGGAGCTCCCCGAACCAGCCGGACTGCTGCTATACCGCCTGGAGCGAGTTGGACGCCTTCTAGGCCGAACCGGGCTGATCTAGGCTCGTTGGCACGATTCCCGCGTGCTGGGCCACGCTTGGACATCGCAAATGGGCCGCTCGCACGTATATGGGCCGTGCTGGGCTGGGGCAAAGACGCGCGGGCTGGCCTCCTGTGTGCTGGGCCGTGCTCGTCGGGCTTCCTCCATCGCTGGGCTACGCGTGCAACAGGCTGCTAGGCCTCCTCACCACTTGGGCTACGCGCGACGCCTGGGCGACTCTGTGTGGGCTACGCGTCTGGCGTGCAGACGCTGGGCTGTGGCATGGAAATCTGCCAGCCATGCTGGGCCGCGAACCAGCGGCTGCTGGCCAGGTCTTGAGGGTGGCAGTGGCTCGCCGGAATTCGCCTGCCCGGTCGGCTTGGCCGGTAGCCGCCGAAAAATGACCGAAAGTTCTCCGGAGAGCGCCGATTGCCGTGGGATGGTCACCGGTAAATTCCAAGACATCCGGCGGACATATTTTTCGCTTTTCGTGAAGAACAGACAACGCCGCAAATTACAGATAAATTACTGGGTTGAATATATATATAGTACGGGGTTGGATAAATATATATATCGCTTGAATACCTCATATCTTCTGTTGTATGACCCGACATCTCATCCGATCATCTTGGTGGGCGATGAGATCGGAGATATCTCTACTGGAATTACTTGAAGAAGAAGAAGAGAATACAAGAGAGAGAAGAGAGCACAAAGGGGCGGCCGTTTTTCTTATCTCACGTGAAACACACATAAGTCACATAATCCCAAGAGATATGATGTATTTGTAGTCTACAACAGAGACCCTAAGGAGGTATTAAATTGGGCTTCTCTTATTAGGATTAGACTATAGGCCAAGCCTACCAAACCCAAATAGGAATAATAAATCCATTTCACTAGAGTAGTATTACTGAAGGAACTCCCAATTTAATTCCCAAATTATATTCGAGTCTCCAATAATAATTACACGATTTATCTCCCCGTGTTTAAGATATAATATCCATCAATTAATTTAATTAATGACAATTAAATTAACCGACATCTATAACTGAGACTAGTACCACTCATCACATTATTATTATGCCGAAATAAATTCCACTGGCCAGATTTAACATAATAAATTAATAATCCTTCATGAACTCATCTCGGGGACATCATCAAATTATCGCACACGGTGGCCATAAATATTCTAACAGCACATCGTACATACAATAATATTACCCAAAACAGTAAGTATATTGATCCAGTAAACTGAATCTCACCCTAGTGAATCAAAATAATATTTACTGCATGCACATGTCTGTTTATATCTTACGGGTTAAGTGTATGCAGTAATTAACCGAGGCCTGGTTCATTTACGACGATCAGTATAAAACGAACTTCTCCTATCTGGGATCCGTTCAATACACAAAGTGTACTAGTGTAACTAATCAGTTAAGACCAACTGTACGGTTAACACTACAACCGTTCACGATGGGTTGTTCATTTCCATGTAGGTAGTGAACCAACTATTCTTGTTTCGCAAGTAACTGATAGAATGATCTTCTGTTCACCCGATGATGACTCATTCTATCTAAGTGCAAAACAACAGAACATAAACTTGTTTAATTAAACATGATTCTCATTCAAACTAGTTCAGTGTAAATACATCTAAAGCCAAGCTTTCAGTATATACACCAACATCCTGTTCAATACATAAATGTACTAGTGCAACTAATCAGTCAAGACCAACTGTATTGTTGACACTACAACTATTCAGATGGGGTGTTCATTTCCATCTAGGTTGTGAACCACAATTCTTGTTTCGCAAGTAACTGATAAAATGATCTTCTGTTCTCCCGATGACGACCCATTCTATCTAAATGTAAAACAACAGAACATAAACTTGTTTAATCAAACATGATTCTTATTCATAAAGGGTAAAAATGTAATATCATCCAAAGCCAAGCTTTCAGTATATAACACTAACATTAATTGTTTTGGTTGGCCTCAAAATAATAGAAATACGATTAAATTTTTTGATCGGTTTGTTATAGATTTTGTTTCTCACAAATAAATAGAACCAATGTTTTTAAACTAAACCTCGGGATGAAGCATTGTTAGTTGGGTTATTGGGTCAATCCACTAACGAGTCACTGGATTAGTTGTTAAATTGGGTAGTTAAATTGTTTAAAAAACTAAAATTATATATATATTGTATAGGTATTGGTTCTAATAAGTATACATATTTAAAATAAGTACATGAGACTCAACTCATCAATTGATTAATGTTTTAACTGTCATAATTTATCAGTTAAATCCCAACTTGCACATGGCGGTTCTCACTTGTCCTTTTAAATTTTTCGAAAGCTACACCAAGTTCTATTATCATTCTCTTCAAGATTCTTTGACGATAATTCTTAAAACTGTGCTTTTTTCGCCGTTAATTCTCAAACCTCTAGCAGATTCGTGTGTTTTTAGCAGGAAATCTTCGAAAGCAACACAGTATGTAGTTTTTTCTATGTTAGTTTCCCTCCACGCAAAATGGAACATTTTTGGTTCCATAAGATTGCACCATGTAAAAACCAACACTCATTTCCAAACAATTTATTTCAAATTTACTTTTGGGACTCTTTCTATGAAATGTACAATCTACCAGGTCCTTAATCTGGTTGAAGTCTAAGTAGTTGAAGTGATATATACAGCTCCATTGTAAAACACATGAAGTATTTATTACATTTCATTCACATGAAAGTTCAATGACAGTGACATAATGACACAACCGTGATTTGGTAATTTCAATTTGACATTTGAAACAAGAAACGACTACCAAAAAAATTATTTGGATTTAAAAGATGAAAGTCTTCCATACTTTTTTATGCATTTTCACCAACTTTGTCATTCTCTCCTAAGGTACTCACAACAACATTTTCAACAAATGAGTACAGGCTACATAGTCCCTCCAAACAAGATTAAACCCATTGTCAAACCGAGAACCAATGGAAAACCACTGCCCTAACTAACTCTACAAACATAGAAGTCTAAAGTATACACAATCTTGTTATGAAAACAGGAATCAACCAACAAAAACAGAGGAAACCAGACCTTCCTGAAGAGAAATAATCCAACCATAATTTAAACTAGGTTGTCCCTCGCCAATGTGAACAACTCAAAAATCAAGAGATTAACATATGAACAAAAATTGATGATAAAAATGACAAGGTTTCTTCCTAGTGTAAACAACTCAATAGGCTAACACATGAATAAAAGACTAAAAAATGACAAATAGGTTGTTCCTCGCCAATGTGAACAACTCAAAAATCAAACTTCCATCAATTACCACATTTATATGCGAGATTAATTTACATCACAAGTGTAACAAAGGAAGAGCACTCAACATAGCAACAATCACCATATTAAATGTAATTCATAGAACTATACACCATTTAAGATTAAGTATTTTGCGAGAAACTGCCAATTATTTCTCAAATTCACAGTTTTATGCAACACAATTGAAGAAGAAACCTATATAATATGTCTGTACATGTTTTCACACATGAAGCCACACAACACAAGATAACCATATTAGCATATTGGAGACTAACAAGAAATAAATCCCATTCATCATTCTGATTATTTATATATAATTTAGTTAATCACTTGAAGCCAACAAAGACATCATATATATATATGAATGACTCTATCTGGTACAGTTGCAACCCATAAAGAAGAAAATAAATCAAAGCTAAATATCCATAAGACAGATGAAAAGAAGCGCGACAATGCATTGCTCCAATATATTAACAAACTCAATTTAAACACATAAAACGGTTAATATTATTTAAACACAACACAAAATCTACTTCTCTAGATCTTTTACAAAATCACATCTCATTTAAACACATGGTCACCTTTCCATAGTTCACCACCGTCAATGTTTATAAACACATGTTCAGCTTTCCATGGAAACCAACACATTGAAAACAAAATCACATTTCATGTTATTTAAGCCTACCACAAGGAACATAATGGTAATGTACATAACAATAAACTAGCATTATTCGTGGAAACTGAATGGAAAATACTACCAAGTGAACTCGGATATAGGCTTAACTAAGGTCGGACTTAGAGAGACTCTTTGGGGCACACAGAACTCAAATAACCATAAGCATGAGCAAATTCATTTACCAGTTAGAAGGGACAAACATGGATATCAGAATTTGCGAGTGATACGATAATTGGATATAAATTTATGAGTTAGCATGTAAAATGAGGTTTACCTACACACCCACGGAGGCACCGAAGTCGTCGTTCTGGTGCACGCAAATTACGGCTTTGTTTAACATGAAAAAAGAAAAAGAAAATTTATCAATTGAGCAAGCTGAAATGTCCACAAATATCTTAGCATCCAAAAAACATATTAACATTTTGGGTAATTAAATCACAAAGAAATATAATTACAACACAAATTAGATGGGTACCTACACCCCGAACACAAATTAGGGCTCCTAAAAAAACATCGAATTCCCACTTGACAAAGCCTATTTATCGAAATAAATATATTATGCATTGAATCGGAAAAAAAGGCCTAATTACAACACAAATTAAACAGGCACCTACACTCTGAATGCAAATTAGGGCTCCTAAAAAATATTGAATTCCCAATCGACCAAGGCCATTTATCGAAAAAATATATTATGCATTGAATCACAAACAAAAAAAGCTAAGTATAACACAAATTAAACGGGTACTTACACCTCGAACGCAAATTAAGGCTTCTAAAAAAACATCGAATTTTCAATCGACCAAGCCGATTTATCGAAATAAATCTGCAACCCCGCTGCAAAACTAGGGCAGTTCCCAACATTTTCACTACTCCTATGGTATTTAATTGTAAATAAACGAACATTAAGGGTTATTCTTGTCTTTTCACAGATAAATTTGAGGGTAAAATAGTCAATGCGGGATTGGGATAACACAATTCGAGGGTGAGAGCAGGATGAAATTAATCGGCGAAAAAATGATAAGGATGTGGGTGCCGCATGCCATATGTACGTCGTGTGGGATCATTTCCATCTCAATTCTTAAAAGTAAACGTGAGATTATCTGAGACAATTTTGAATATCCAATCCCATCAACCAAAGTAAAAGAGGCTTACAAGTATTAGGGAGATCAAATCGGCACCAGGACCGCCTGTGATGGTCCGCGGGCAATACGAATTGGGCTAAAGTAAATATCAAATCCAATCAAATAGTACAAAGTCTACTCAGAGTCACCTGGGCGATTCCTAAACACTAATGACATGATTGGTATGATGAAATGACATGGGAATGGAATGATCATTCCCTTACTCATTCATTATCCCATGATTGGTATATTTTTTGGGAAGGAATGACTATTCCAATGGGAATGGCAAAACCCATCTCCATGGGATTAGCCATTCCATAGTAAATGGAGAATTTTCTCATTCCCATGTGTGTAGGAATCAATTTTTCAACAAATAAAATTAACAAATAATAATAAAAAATAAATATATAATATATATTATAAATCATGATTAAAATATATTAAATAAAATTATTTTAAACAAAAATTCAATTAAAAAAATTGAAAACTTACTTTTATTTATTTTTTAATTATATATATTAAATATTTATATAAAAATAAAACTAAAAAAAGCATTTATATATAATTTAAAAATATATTATTTTATTTTTATATATTATTAAAAATATATTATATTTTATATATTAAAAATATATTAAATATTAAAAATATATTACTAAAAATATGTTATTGAAAAATATTAAAAATATATATTATTAAAAACATATTACTTTATTTTTAAATATTATTAAAAATATATTATTTTAAAATATAAAATTCACATAAAAATTTGAAAACTTACTTTTATTTACTTTTTAATTAAAAAATAAAATATATATTATTAAAAATATATTAATTTTTAATTTTAAATATTATTAAAAATATATTATTTTTTATATATAAAAAATATATTACTTTTAATAATATTTTATTTTTTATATATAATTTAAAAATATATTATTTTATTTTTATATATTATTAAAATATATTATTTTTATATTATTAAACAATATATTATTAGTTTTTTAGAAAAGCAAGTAAGAAGGTAGCGATTCTCTTGTTGAGAGCTTATGATTCTCTCGTTGAGAGCTTTCTAGTTTGTTTTCCTTCCATGAATTTGCAGATCCTTTCCTTCTATCAGTGTTACTTGGAGTGATTATCTTCCTCTCCAACGCTTGTTTTTCGAAGATTTGTTTTTTCAGGGTAGGGTTCTTTGATGGCGGGACAATCCAAGTATAACGCAGACGACGATCTTTCCTCATGTTTGGGGGATTTCTCATTATCAGACAGGGAGATTAATGTTATAGACATTGCGCAGGATGATATTCGACTGAGTGATGATGAATGTCAAAGGAGCTTATTTGGGAAAATTATAGGGGACAGGATAGCTGGGTGGTTTGGAGTAAAAAAGGCAATGACACAAATTTGGCGCCTCAATCAGCCGATGGAAGTCAAAGAGCTCAGCCCTAATTACTTTCAATTTATCTTTCAAAGTAAAGAAGACAAAGCCCGTGTAGCGAGTGGGTCGAACTGGAGCTTTGAGAATCAGTATATTATCTTGCGAGAATGGTGTTGGTAATATTTTTGGGCAAGTAATAACCGAGTTACCCGACTCGGGTCGTTCTCTAAGGAAGGTTAGCCGGATTAAATTGTATGTTTATTCAATTCACAAAAGAGAAAATATTCCTAAACATTCTAATTCAATTTAATAATGAGGTTTTAAACTAAATTAAAAGTAACATAAATGCTATCATTTTACTCGGAAAACCTTTCAAATGATAAAGTCGTTTTACTAGTAAATACTTTCTAACGATAAAATCGTTTTACTCGTAAATACTTTCAAACTAAAATTTGTTCTACTAGTAAAAACTTTCAAACAAATAAATTGTTCTACTAGTTAAATACTTTCAAACTATAAGNNG